TAGATCTGAGATATTTATACTACTCTAGAGAGGTTTACTTACACTGTGAGTGATTCTGTGAAATAGTCAGATCACTCTAGTAAATAAAAGTGATTGTAAATCACAGATCTGAATCTTTCTATATAATTACAAAGAGTGATTGCAGACTGCAGATATCTTAATTCTACAATTCTACAGAGTTAATAAAAGAATGAAAAATTCCTCACAATTCTACAGTATCAAAGAATAATGATTTATGAGAATAAGTAAAAGATTAACTCATGAATGTTTCTCTTTAATAGAGATAATCTCACAGAAAGTGATTCATCTGTGAGATGAATCTGTGTAATGATTACATAAGAATCTTATAAAAATGATTAAGAGTCAACTGAAATCCTTCTATATAAAAGATATAAGATGAATCTGTGTGATAGTCAGAGAAGAATCTGTAGATTATAAAGAATCTTGTAGAATAAGAAACTGAGTGACAGACTCTTTTCTCTTTATAATAACAAGAGATTTTTCCTCACTGAGGTTTTTTTATAGATATGAAGAATTTTTAGTGAGTATCACTGCAGTGCTGAGCTGATTCTATGAAGTCACTTAGTGAAAGGCTTCACAGATAAAGTCTTAGAGAGGGAGAGATATATAAGAAATTTCACTTCTTACAGATTCTTTATCTCTATTTCTATCTCTTGTATAATCAATAGAGCTAGTGACTCTTGACTACACACAACTATATAGACTGGAGTTCATGAATACTATTCATAACTCAGCTTGAATACTATTATACATTTGATCTCTACATTTTATCTTTCTATCATGAATACTTCTAGTAGTTAACAGTACATATCACGCCAAGCTGCAAACACCCGAATAATCGCCTGTGAGCACTTATTCTTACACTTTGTCAAAGTTGTGTAAGATTCATTTGAAAAACTTATTTCATGTTTATAAGAATAGATATCACTCTGAGTCTATAAGATTCATCTTTTTATCAGTCATTTATAATAACTTCACTTTTTCATGTAGAAACACAGCAGATCTTAAGACTTGTTGAAATTTCATTAACTATCTGTCTATGAGTTCATATTCAATCTGATAATATGATTGCATCTGACTTAGTCAGCTGATTACAGCATCATTTTTTCAGTTGCTATTAAAGCTTAATAACTCTGACAGATCTCTCAGCTTGATATATCTTATACTCAGATTCTCATTCTGCATAGCAGTCTCTGATAATATATATACTTCTGAAGAGATTATAAACAATTGTGATGAGATCTTCAGATTCAGTGTAGTTATCTATCTGTATAACTGTTCAATCTTCTACTGCAGGCCTAAGATCTGGTTTTCTCTATTCTTATTGATAATGATGATTACATCAGTGAAGCTCTTCATAGTGAATACTTAATCTACAGTGAATGTCAATTGTTATTTAACTTTCATCTTAGCCTGTCACTGTGTATGCAAGGCCTCAATCTCATTTAGAATCCTTATATATATACAGAGCTTTAATTCTGATTCAGTGATTTTAGCTGCTTTTCTTACTACTTTAAGTAAATCCTCTGAGAGATTCTGCATATCTTTCAGTTCAGATAGTAGAGAAGAGTGTTATTTGTATTAACTAGAAGAGATATTCATTTCAGTGATTTCTCATTGATTATATAATGTCTATCATTATATTACTGTATGATTTCTGTTATTATTATATGACTCTGATAATAATTATCTCTTCCTTTTTTATCCTTCTTTTGAGTAGAGAGTGAACTTCTTTGAATCTGATTCACTGCTTTCATCTTCTTTCTCACATCTCATTTATTCATGTCTCATATGTGATATTTGTCTGAGTATGAAGTTTTCTCTTAATAAGTAAAGCAGTATCAATCAGATGCTCTTCTGCTCACTGCTCTTTATATACTATCTTTTGAGACATTCTAGAACCACACTGACATGATAACTATGAATCACTTTGTAGATAGAATTATCATGCTCTGAAGAAGCCTGCACTTCTCATCAGTTTTTAGACATGCTATCAGATGTGATTCAAAGATTACTTGAGTCAGTGTATGATTACAGGCGTACACTGGCTTCTTATATATCATACACTAAATTAATTAGCGGCCGCTATAGCCCCTTTACACTTGTAAGCAAGTTTGAAAGCGGCCGCGTTATTATCTGACAGTCGTACGTTCTTCCGAACCACTGTATGTTCTTCCGAATCATAAAAGCTCAAACTTCTTCATCTCTTTCTTAATAAGCTGTGAGAATTCTACAATATTAATTGAAATAAGCTCTCAGTTTTGAAACTAGATCACTGTTCAATTCTTTTCTATAATAAGTTAATATTCTCAGTTCAGTATGTCTATTAATTAATCAGTTATTAACTTATTACTAACTTATAAATCAGAGATTGCATTCACTGAATCTCTCTTATGAAAGAGAATATTATTCAATATCAAAAGACAGAGCTTGATCAGATTACAATTATATTTATTCATAAAATGAAAGAAGTTAAGTAAATTTTCTTTACACTTATTTCTCTATATTATATCATGTATAATCATCTACTAAATCTGCTGATTTTGCAAGAGAATTCTGATAATTACACTATTATCAGACTACTGATGATTTGAAAGACAGTATTATATAATATTCTGATACAGAATCGTGATAAAAATGATGATTATTTAATGTATAAGTCTCAGATAATAAGATATTTACATTGTAATTAAGATATCTCATTTCTTTAGATAGAATAGATAGTTAATAAATAGCAGTCATTGTACTGAGTAATAGATAACTAACTAGCTTAATAGTATTGATTTCACTGACAGAATAGTATACAGTGTCTTGTAGTATCTTAGTAGTATTCTGATAATGACATCTGTCAATTACACAGTTACTGTTATTATTATTATTATTCTTTAATTATAGATGTATGCAGTCAGAGACTATGATATCTACCTGAGAACTTTTAGTTCTCAGAGTTTTTCCTATATCTATAGAGTCAACTATTATACACTTATCAATTTCAGATATGTAAAATCAGAAAATTTCAGCTCAGAATATAAAAACTGTTTACAAATTACAGTATTTCAACATCTATTAATACTTTGAAATTATTTGAAAATATCATGATAAAGGAAAAGAGAACATAGTCTTAAAGATAGATATATTAAATAGATAGATAGAAAAGAATAGAAAGAAATAAGTACAGTAATAAGAGTTACAGAATAAGATCTCTGCAGTTTATATCTTAAGCTATATATATATTTTAATATTCTATATAACTGACTGCTGTCTCTGTTCTCTCAGATCTGCTTTAAAGATTATTATTCTCTCTAAAGAGCTGCTGCTCAGCTAGCTTCTGTAACTAGCTTATTTATAAGTGAGATTCTCACTAAGAATAATATCAGAGTTACTTAATTCTAGTTAAGTCTTTAATCTTTCAGCTATTAATCTCAGTATTTCAGTCTATTAATTGACTGTTATAATCTTACTTATATTAATTATCTATTAAGAGTATCTAGATTTTATCTCATCTAGATTCTTACTAGACTCAGAGTATTCTAATTAAATAGTTTTTAAATCTCATTTCTCAGAAGTAAGTATTTAGAGTGAGAAAGATAAGATCTGATTAATTAAGCTTGATAATAATTCACTATTTTACAGATACTTTAGATCTTAATTACTCTAGTACTAATCTAACTTAAAATATCTGAGAAGCTGTTAACTCTAAGATCAGTGAGAATTAGTGTCTGAAAATCTCTGAAATGAATATTTTAAGCTTGATGATGATTTGCTATAGTGCACTCAGAGGCCTCTGATACTGTTTTATGACTTAACAGTGGAAGCTGTGGTTAAGATGGCTCTCACAGGGTTCGAACCTGCCCCCTCTTAGCATTCATTCCCCGGGGGGAAGGCCGCTAATTGGGGCTCCATGGTAGCGTAGTTAACCACTACGCCACCGGGCCACACACAGTTACTGAGTAGTGTTATAATGATGTTAGAAAGTTCTGCACTATCTTAATGTCATCTTGACATTTAATATTCAGTGACATGTCACTGAATATAATGGTGGAACATGTGTTACAATCGGCGACACGTGACATGGGTGGAATGGTGGATCCACGGTGTAATCACCGTAAATTAACCCTACGTTCTTCCGGTAAGGTATTATGTTCTTCACGTGGATATTTTAGTATGAGAAAATACTACCGAGACAAACAAGACAAACACAGCAAGGTATATTCTCATCCTACATTGGTCTGGAATCTGTATTTGCAGAGAATGTAAGCGCACTAACCCAGAATGGATTAGTGATTACAGCATGAGGGCGAAGCACGTTCCTTTGTCTCATTTCAGGGTCAATATACCCATTACATGTAAAGTAGCTTAGGTGATGACTATTATTCTGTGTTTAACTATTTAGCTCTATGTTTATTCATCTCTTATATCGAAACCTGCATTGTAAGATGGAGGCGGAGGTTGACCATTCTTCAATCTACCACTATTCGGGGCTTCCCCTTGTTCCATAATCGGTTCGCCTTGGGGATTAAAAAAATTGTGATTTGAGAAAAGAATTACGCGCTCGCGAATTCCCTCAGCTAACAATTCATTTATCATTTTCCTCTTGGTGTGCTTGCTAGTGTGTCTGGAGGCAAACGTCAAGCCTTTCACAATGGTTCAAAATCTCTCTCCCATCAATGACTGCGAAACAGAATTTTTCCAAATGGAATTTTACTCGCAATATAGGGGAGGAGGATGCCTCTAGCATTGCTTGGAATGAACGGCAGATTTTGGAGGCAGGCATCAGCATGTGCCTTGCTGAATGCTATTGCTCAGCCTACCCCTAACAGTGTGCTAGCGCCGACCCGGATTGAGCATGTCCATGTTACCCCTCCTCTTACTTCTTCATAGATCTGTTCCAAGAATATTTCGCCTCCAATAGATGTCTCTCCTACGGATGTGAATAGAGGAAGCGTCTTCTAGAAATTTTATCTATGCCTCAAGAGAGAATGGCCAACCTAGTCAAGTTCTACATCGTGGGCACAATCCCTACTCGACGGCTCCCTCAATTGATGGCTTTGGCATATCAGACTGCAAATGACCTTCATCTTCACCCAAAAGCTGTTCTCATCCGGTATGGCTCATCTAAACCTTTGCCCACGAGAATATACTAATAGGTACTAGGTCGGATATTCACGATACGACCTCTATACTTGGTACATACCAGAAAGATCCAAAGGGTCTCCATCTTACGATCTGCTTCAAAGATGCTGAGCAACTCGCCAACAACACGCATATCGCTAGTCATGGATATGTCACAGACAGATTGAAAAACTTTATTCACGAAGCAACACACACGCCCGAAAAACAGGATGGAACTAAGAAAAAGAATGGGGTTGATGTTTGGCCTGGCGGTTTAAAATGTGTTGTTGAAGTGGCCTATGGGCAGGTGCCGAAGCAGGAAGAGATTCAAGTTGAGTAATTTGTATGATCCTCTATGAACTTGAAAAATGTGTCAAACCTTTGTCATTAAGCTGTTAAGGTATCTTCATTCCCAACTACATGTAAGATGCTTCGAGATCGTTTCCTATAATGAAAGTTTATTGAAGATTAGAAATTACTTTTTCATTATCCTTGCTCATCTGCCTTGTCGCCAACCCTCTGTCTTTTAAAGCCAACTTTACTCACTTCAATGATATCTTCCTCTTCCTCATTCATCTCTCCAACATGATCTGTGAAGCTCCATTGTAGGGCATCCTCATACTCAGCCTCAGTTTCATTGACTGATGTATCAGACTCGACCAAGACTGGTCTCACTATTAAAATAGAAACTGGCTCTTCATCAGAGAATGCAAAAGATTGAGATTCACTATTCAAGTCTGAAATTCTTCAATTTACAGCCTCAATGAATCTGTCTCTTCATTTCTTTGTCAAGTCTCTGCCATGCTGAAAAGCAGCTGCTCTCTGATGAAAAGTTACTGAGTCATCAGTCATAGATCATTCTTTGAGTTGTGTCATAATATATTCAGAATGATCTTCAGAACAGGCTGACTGAATAGAATGAGAGATGTATAACTTGAGTGTGTTATCATGATATGTAGATGTAATTGTATAAGTGTTGTTATTATAAACTGGTTTGTCTTTCTCATATAACTGAAGACTCTGAATACCTTGAGCACTCAATGCACTATTATAGCACACCTGTCTTCTAGCTACTACTGCAGATTCATCAGGTCTCTTTATCTTCAGAAAGAAGTTTGATGACATCAGAAGACTATTCTGTGTTGAAGAAATGATAAGATCACTTAACTTGTTATAAATATTTCAGTCAAGCTGTTCAGGATGAGTTTTGTAGAAATAATCTGACTTGTCAGCAGCAAGAGTACTGTCTGTCAAGAGAGCCAGGTTTTCAAATACATATTCTTCTCTGACACATTTAGCATCACTGATCTTATTCTCAATAATTGAAATCACTGAGACTGTCACTGATTACTTCTTGAATGCATGAGTATCTGCTTTTCTGAATTCTTTGAATTTTTTTTCTGAAAACCTTGATGATGAAAGTGAAGCTCAGAGTCTGACTAATCTTTCATTGATGATCTCTCAGTTGTCTGATATTGAGAGGAACTGATCATCTGAATAATCATACTCTGAAGAGTAGACATCATAGTCAATCAAGTTCTGTTCAAAGTTACATTTATAAGCTGTAGTGCTGGTAGTTTTGATGATCTCAGTGTCTTGAGTTCCTTGAGTTTTTGAGAATGAAGTAAGTGTTGCAGATCACTTTCAACATCAAGATCTGAACCAATCTGAGTTCATTGTGTGATCAAGAGGATTTATAGGTTCTGAGAACTAGAGAGAGAATGATCAGTTTGAGATGATATAAGTGATCTGACAAGTACTTACATCTCTTAAATCTGAGAGATCTGGATCACTGTGTCTGACAAACTGCTTTATATTCTTCAAATAATTCAGTACACAGTCACAGAGAAAGTCAGCAGCATTCTGAATGAGTTAGTAATTATTCTTCAGTGTAGCTAGAAGCTGATAAGTTAATAACCTGTTTGATTTTCAGCACTGTAAATAAGATGAGTATGAAGTAGGCTGAGCATTTCTTCAGTTTAGCTCTCTCACTGTGCCTTTGATTAACCAAAGCTTCAACAGATTGTCTCAGAATTCTTGCAGTGAAGAACTGATTGAGTGATTGTGCTTCTGCTTTTTTGATTGAGATAATCTGCTCACTTGAGATGAATTTTGCTCTGAACACTGACACTTGCAGGAGGAATTAGAGAGTCATGACACAGACATGTGACAATCAACAGAATTGACCAGTTTGTTGATATATTAAAGACACATGATCAGATAGAAATAGCAGCACTTATATTCTCACATAATGTGTGAACCTCATGTGTTCAAGTTGAGATGAAAAGTTTCTTAGTAATGAGAGATAGACAGTTTCTGAAGACCAGTTCTTGAACTGCTTTCTCTGCTGTTGAAAATTCCATCTTTTACTCAACATCCTCACACTTCATCTTTGGTTCATTTCATACATTCCTGTTGATCCTTGTTTCAAAAATGAGGTCATCAGCTCATTAGAACTGAACTCATAAATTTTGAAGCAGTTGAGAACAGCATTTCAACTGACAGGGCCTGAAGAGCAGCTTTGCAGAAGTAGATGACACCCTTCACTGCAAGTTATGAGTCACTAACTATAGAGACTGGGTGAGTTAGAACAACTCAACTAGGTCAGTCAAAAATTTCCTCACCCTCTCAAAGAACAACATCTTCGGTCGTCTTTATTAAAACTATCAGGTCACGTGATCTGGCTTACTAATCCTTCCATCATATAACTTTTCACAAGCTAGCAACCTTACAATCACACAAGCTTTACACCTTCCACAGGTTATGAGACCTGTTTTGTGCAAAATCGCTGCCAATTCAGGATTTCTTGTCAATATAATCATTATTTAACTACTGCTTCATTTAATACACTCATCAGGAGTTAAAATCATCTTATTCTATCAGTATTAATGTGTTTGAGATCTTGATGATCAATAATACTACTGCTTGCTTAAAAAAAAAAAAAAAAGAGACTTGCAGAAAACATACTACATTTGTAAAAAAGTAAGAAAAGAGAACAATATTGACAAGAATTCAATAAATGAATATTAAGATGATGGATTCAATACAATCTCACTCACACATACATTTGTAATCTTATATTCTTTTCACTGAATCAGTTGCAGTTGATGATGATGATTCTTCACACTTATACTCTGTCAGTGAATATTCTTCTAAAGTCTTTGAAAGCTTCATTAATAAAAGCTTCATTGTCAAAACACTCTCTCAATTTGAAGCTGGTTTGAATACAGCTTCTGACACAGTCAGGCCGGCCTCTCAATCTACTTAACAGCTTAATGAAACTGGTTCTCTTAATGAGAATAATGAACACTCAGGTATCTACTGTTCAGATGAGATAATATCAGACCAACAGATAAAGCATCTTAAGATAATACTTGAGATGAATAAGAAGAAGCAAAGAGTTCTAGAACTTGAACTACAACTGAAAAAACTCTGTCAACAGAGATTCTCTACGGATTAATCATAGAATGTTAACAATTATTCTGTCATCACATTTACAGTCTGTACAGTCACATGAAATTCTAATCTCAGTGAAAGATTGAAATTCAACCTTTATAAACTGAATAGCTGTGTTGACAAGACAATCTCTCAATTCAAGAAAGATGTTAAGAATACTGTGAGACTAAACAGTCTAACTGACATATTCAATTACATCACATGAAGCATCTTCATGAAATTAAAACTGATTGATGCACAGTGTTAATATATGATAGAGAAATAACAGACTCAGAACTCTCTACAAAGAGATGATGAATAAGCATCATTCTGAGATGTCAGAAACCAGTGACTCTACACATTCATCTTGAACTTCTTGAGTGCAGATGTCAGACCATGTTTCTTCAAGTATGATGAAAATCAGATTACTTATACTCTATGAAATGTGATTGAACAGAAATACTCTGTTCTTAAAACACAGTTACATTATGAGACAGTTCTGGAATTTATGTCTCTTGATGACACACAGATCATCAATCTACACACATTCTTCAATAAGTTTCAGTCTGTCATTATGAAATTAAAGATGTTGAATGCTTTTCTCTCAGATGTGTGAATATTTGATATCTTCTACTCAGTTCTACTCAACAATTGAAGAAATTATGTTCAGAAGAAGATAGAGAAGATACAGGATTTCAAATCCATAGCTGTAGTATTGAATGTTGATCTTCTTATGAAGGAAATCTGTTTGTGACTTGATTCTTCAAAAGATAAAAAGAACCTGTAGAATATAGATTCTGCAGTCAACTCAGCTATAATAGCTACAACAGCTATAACAGCTACAACAGTCACACTGACTATCAGTAATAATACATTGAATCTGGTCTGTGAAGACTGTACTGAATATGATTATAGCAGTACATAAGAAGGCTTTTAAAACTATCAGAGATCAGGAAATTCATCTACATATTCTGAATGTGAGAGATCTCACTTTGATATCTGTTAATTGATCAATTCAGACAGTGCTTCAGATAATTGAAGAATAAACAATACTGTAAGAATAAAGGAATTCAAAGAAAAGAAGAAAAAGAACAATAGTAAGAGTAGAATTCAACTATTCATTATAGATGAATGAGAGATCTATCAGATGATAAATCTCACAGAGGTTATTAATGTATCAGCCTGTTTTATAAAACCTTACAAGAATTCTCTCACTATATGAAATAGTGGCGCTGAATGCCACATAGTGAGTGATAGATCATGATTTTCAGAACTTATAGCAATCAATGATTCAACAGTTCAAGTGATTAACAAGATCATTATAAAGATTCAGAGTGTTGACACTGTATTCATCTCAGTAGATGAAAGATTGATAGAATTTAATCATGTATACTATATATCAGAACTATCTGCAAATCTGATCTCTGCTGAGCTTATGAAATGTCAGAACTATATTCACTGTGATATACAAGTTAATGCTGAGAACTACTTTGAGTTTTTATTATGTATCAACAGTGATATCTTCTACATCAACCTGTTTCACAATAATATTTATATTCTATCTGATAGCTCACTGACATTTCATGAGATAATGAACAACTCAATGTATGAAGCAGTGATATATGTGACTGTTCTGAAATCAAAGACAATCTTAATAGATTACAATCTGAATGCTGAGTCTTTGAGACCTTTCAGCTGCAAGAAGGTTGAACAGTTAATCAACTCTAAGAATTCAGATACTGATTTCTTTATTATCTCATCTTCATCTCAATTATCTGCAGTTCTTTCAAAACAGCTTCTGATAGATGAGTGGCATTGTCAACTTGATTATATCAGTGAAAATAGTATATTAAAAATGATCAGAGACCTGTGATTTGATATTATTATTATCAGTCTGAAGAAATT